CTGTCTGAAGTGACCTGGTTTCATTTGTTACTATTGCCGCTTCACCTTGCCTCATTAGTGCAATACTAATGAAGTGGCTGATGTGACGATTTTAACAATTACATCATCAAACTTCATTTTGAACTTCGTAGATGGAGTTCATTCAGCACTGATGATTGGATCAGCATAACATTACTTAATATGGGTTCACATACTATCAATCAGTATTTCCATGAGAGTGGAATAGATTAAACCTCATATGTAACCGGCACGGGTTGCACTGATTCATCCAAACAATCGAAATGATTTTTATTCCATAAAGCACTATTTCAAGGATTATTCATCGATGATGAAGACACACACAAAAAAATAATTCTATACATTTCATGTGTTTTTGGAAACAATTGAATCGATAAAATTACAAGAATTTTAAGTCAAAAGAACATTGTAGAAAGAAACGAGAATACACGTTTTTCGAGACTTCATTTGATAAATTAAACGGTTCAGGTTAGATCGTTATAGTAAACTTGTGTCAACGTGGTATGACAATCTTCAGCGGTGGCAAACTAAAAATACTGATATTATTAAAGTCTTAAGATTAAATTGGCTTCTATGGGAGCTCGAATAAGCTACATGTTTGTGGTATTGCAACCGACACTTCGAAAGGGCGTCTTATCGTTTTTCACGTATTTGATATTCACATATCAAAAATTACCTCACTCAAAATCATTCTGTATTTGATGACTTTTTAAAATTAACTAACACATATCTACTACTACGACACACTACTGTATGTAAGTGAATAATTTTAATGAATATCTGGCCTCAACCTAAATGATTTTACTATAAACCAATCACATCGACTACATCAAACCATAATATCCAATTTCACTCAATATCCAATAGACATTTATATATCCAAAATGTCGGGAGAAAATCAGATCTCTCGAATTTGAAATTATATTAGTGAATACCACAACGTTTGATCAAATATAAAGAAAATGATGAATAAAAACAAGAAAGTATAATCATTGATTGGACAATGATATCTTCTAAATCAATCAAACATACATCAAAACATTTAAACATATGAGTAAGAATCAGATGTTTCTCATTCTATAATCAGAATTTCGTAATGAGACAGTTTCAGATAGATTGTCTCATTTGACAATAATCGTATGTTTCACATAACTCTACTAATTTAAATATTCAACTGAAGCAAGAACCAAAATTTTGCAGAACAACGCAAAGTCACTATCGTTCGCGGATTTTTATCAGGTACGTACATAGTGAAGTAATTATATTGAAACAGTACCCATCGGCACCAATGTGTACTTCACTGGCCGATATCAACCACCATAAAACCTACAAGCACCAAACATTGTCCAGCACTATCAAAATATCTCTTCAATACCATCGATTTTATGTATGAATTTGAAGTTATTGTGACAAACGTTGTCGACAGTTTATTTCATTATTCATTTAGGAAAGCTTTATTCCGAAGATATTCATTTAGATTTCGTTGCAAAATTATCACACATTTAATAACCAATACATATTTCAAATTCTATTTGATCTTGTTTAATATCCAAACGCCTCCGCAAAACGATAATACCAAACATCCAACAATATACAACACAAACATACATTTCATCAGCGATCAAATGTACTCACCGGAAAATTGTGAAATGATCAGTTTATCAATTAAACTGATTGATATAAAACCATACTCAGAACATTAAGTGGATTTTGTCAACATTACGACAGTGAAAAGTCCCATAGTAAAAAAAAAAAGAATCAGTCTGATTAGTTGAGTAAAACATCATCGCGGTTATCTACGATACATTCTTTGATTACAAGCATTGAACATTCAACACTTCAATCGACAACGCTTCCAGTTCCATTTAAACACGGCTATAAAGAAAAATTTTCTCTTTCGATCTGAACATCTAATATCAGCCAGTCATATAGTGTGTGCTTCTTATATTGACACTGTGGTGTGAGCTACTTATATTGATATAAGTAGTACAGAACGTACGTCAAAAGAACGTAATGTCTGACTGCAGAAGATGGCGAAGATCAAGAAAAGTAGAGCGATAAAAGAATGAAATTTGTAAGAAAATGCATGAACAGTGGAATGGTAGAAAATGGATTAGTGATTGACACTGTAACAGAACAAATTGATTTGATGCATGAATATTTTGCAAATTGACGATTTACTGTTTGGTATTCGGATTGTGTTGAGATAGTCTGTAACCGTTGTATTAAGTACACTCGACTGTCCTCACCAGAGTTTGTGTTCACTACAACACAAATACTAAATAACACGAGTCAGGAATGGAAAGTCTGGCAGGAGAAGTTTGAGAAATTCAAATGTAATTACTAGAATATCGTGTAACAATCAGTTTGTCTCTTACACTGATTGATATAAAACCATACTCAGAACATTATGTGGCTTTTATCAACAATACGATAGACAAAAGTCTCATAGTCAATTCACAACAAACATTCTGATTAGCTCATTCTGGGTTATCCCTGATGCTTCCATAGATTAATATAATGATAACGTATAAATTAGGTGGTTCTATAAGAAAACCATCACTATACTCAGTTGAAAGAAGATGGTAACGGTTACAGTGTTCATTCACAGATGAAACTGGACCTTCTATGAAATGGCATGCAGACTATTTTAAGCTTTCACTTCATTTTGTTTTCACAAAAGTGGTACCATTTTTATAATGAATATTTAATTGATCTTTGTTCCGTGTGCGTAGGTGACTGACGGTCACATTAACACCTAATTAGAAAACGACATTGTTTGTTTCGACTACGATCCATATTAGTCTGCTTATACAAAAGAAAATACCATAATATTTGACTGATCAAAAAGACTGTGGTAATAAACGATAATTATTATTTCCGTGATAAAACAGCTACGGTCAACAGACAGTTATATTTACAGAATCACGCTATCAGATAATGATAACTAATATTATCATTATTGTTACCTTCAGAAATGTATTTTTTTTATGCCACAAGGCTCATAATATAAAATGATGTAAAATAAATATGATTTTTTTGTGTAATATTAGAACTCATATTCCTGTCCGAATTGACTAACTACAGTCTTCATTTTGAACAGTTTCGAGAGGGAAACAGAAGCACATGTAGTGTTCAGATCAAACAAATAGGGTTCATTGAGAATAATATGTTCCTGTTTGACAGTGCTTTATTTTCCACCAGTGGCGAAACAGAATATGGTTAAGAGTAATGTAGAGATGTGAAAGATGACTATCTACATGACCAGAATAGGCAAGAAAAATGAGAACGAGTAGAGCAACTTACAGTCGATGATTGATAATGTGGAATGAAAATCACTTATTACCACTGTTAACTGACATAAGTTTGTCGGACTCAATTCTGTCATGGGTACATAAGCTGATGGACAATCATTGACGTGGCTCAAAGAGCTAGTTGATTTTCGAGACTTTCATGATTGAGTTTCTAGTCATAGAAAACAGTTAGGAATGCTGAATAAATTGTGGTTTTTAAGGATCTGGAAAGTGCATTTTTCAAATTCACAGAAGGAATATCTTCCTTGAATTTCGTGTTCATGTGCGAATAATTCTTTGAAATATACATGGCATTCTGGTTTCCGATTACCGTGAATAATTGAGATTGATTAGAAGTCATGCTCCAAAAGTGTATGTTGGATATTATACATATCATCATCAGTTTTGTCTTCAGTGCATATTTTTCTGGCTGTTGAGGATAAAGAATGGATCAAAGTACTGACCCTACTCAGAGCACTAAAATCTGCCAGTTACAATTTACCCGGTTGCACTTCAATTCGGTTGAGCTCACTTTGAATACGTTTCACTTTATTTGATAAGTTTTGTAAACCACCTGTATTTCACCACAGATTACTACTACTACTACTACCACCAATAAATCTATTCACATTTCAACAAGAACTGAGCAAATTAATGTTTTTTGTTCCTACAGTCGTACTTAATTCATTGATTATTGCGTAAAATTAATTAATCTGAATGTCAGTGAAGAGATGAAGACAATTAAGTGACACAAAGTCGAAACATCATCTGCAAACACACTGTAGAAAACGTGATTGTATGGTGAGTATTCAACGTCAATTTTGTGTTCACACTTTTGTTAGTGAAGTTGCAGAATCACAACAACTGATCAGTAGTGTCTGTTTAAATCACTATAATATTTGACGGATCAGAAAGACTGTGGTGATAAACAATAATTATTATTTTCGTGATAAAACAGCTACGGTCAACAGACAGTTATATTTACAGATCATGCTCTCAGATAATGATAACTAATATTATCATTATTGTTACCTTCAGAAAAGTATTTTTTTATGCCACAAGGCTCATAATATAAAATGATGTAAAATAAATATGATATTTTCCTGTCCTACATCACGTTTTGTTAATTGTTTCGATACGATGAGTTGGTGTATAGGAAATTATGACTTCTAAGTAAGATCTTAAATATTATGCAGTTATATCGTATAAAATCTTCAATCTTAGGATTTGTTCTCTCTTTAGAGCAGTACAAGTTACGTGGTAATCTATAGTTCTACAACTTTGAGGTTACCAGATCAACTTCAATGAACGCATCATTGACAAATAAATTCACATCTTACTACAATAGACTGCTTTTCTGTGAGTATATTAGAGCACATTTTGTTCTACCAATTAATCGATGACCATTTTACTCACATCCATGTAAAGTTCCATCAAAGCGTGCCAGTATTTTTAACCAACGTTTGATGAATATCAGCTCATGTTCTCAACAACCAGAAGAAAAATGAATAACGATGAATTCATTCATCATTACGATTGGTTAACAATGAACATATGACTTTATCAAATTTGATCTTCCTAATGGTCACTTTGAATCATCCAATTAGAAAGAAACAACCAACCACTTAAAAAGTCTATATAAGCCCGATAAATTTCAATTTAATTTGATTTACAACCTCCAAGGAAACAATGAGGTGAGTGTTGACTGAACACACAATGTGAATAAATGTTTTATACAAATTGAAATTTGATTCAATAAGATACTGTTGTTTTGTTCATTTGAATCATTTTAGATACAATTTTTTATTTGGTCTTTCGATATCACTTTATTTGTTCATCGTATCACTTCACAACTTCCTCGACTGCCAAGATCTCTGTGAGCAATTGCCTAATGAAAAATTAGTTCATGAAAACGGTTCATATAAATATGTATGTTATCAGTCTGTTTCTAATACACATACTCAGTCTTATAATCATTATTATGCACAGAGGATTCGCCTTAATCAGTTACATCCAGTTGCAAATGACAGTTTTCAAAACATTAGTAATCATCAAGTGAGTTGTCCACATTATGTAACGAAGTTGTATATTTTCAGATAGCTTTACCAACATTCCCGTTTCATTATTATGGTAGTTACAGCAATAATATTATTATTTCCGATGGTAAGTGAATAATTTTCTTTTAACCACAATTCTTACTGTATTCTTGATCACATTTCATATCATGAATCAAAGTTGATTCAATTCCTTCAATATATCAGTTTTATACAATTTCCGTGAATTTCCTTTCTTGTTCAATTTGTCAATAGTATGAGACCACAAATTAATCCAGATATATGCCATGCAATTCATTTTATTCATTCAATGTATACTATCAATCAGTTTGTATGTTTTTTTAAAAAATAAACACAGGTGAAATAAAAATACGAAAAGAAAACGATATCGGAAAAATTTCAAATCGTATGGCAGACATTGTATATTCTAATTTAGAGGCTTTGTCGAAAAGTAAGTTCATACAGTATTCAGTAATAGATTGTTGCCTTTCTTTCTCATCTTTATTTTGCTGAAATGATCTGGTATTTTACTTGAATTATACACAGCAGTTGACCAGTACTCAGTGATGGCTTCGTTCGTGTAATTGTTGTAGGAGAACACGTATGCATTACTGTCAAGTGAAAATATTAAATAAAACAGTAATTCAGCTAAAGCTAAACGTAAATTGATCGTGTATAGATGATAAACCAATTTATTCAGTACAAGACTATCTACTCAGACAAGAACACCTAGAACATCAAGTTGACATACATTCATTTCGGTCAGTAATCAGAATTGACGAATAACAGAATCTAAGAAAATGATTTTCAATGTGAAGTGTTGAAGGTCTTTCACACATTCTTCTCAGTTGATTGTAGTAAAACGTTATCATATAGTTGAATTTCTGTTCGTTTTGAAAATTTAAATAAAATATTATTGAATAGTTGATTAGACCGGTGCAATCAAATTTTGTGATGAAGTTAATGGCTTGGATGCAAAGGCAAACCGTGTTGAATGATTTATATAGTTTAGAAAATAGATGTTTATTATGCACATATTAAACTAGCTTTTTTGATTTTCATTATTTTAGAAGAATACAACGCAATCCGAATGTCTTTTGAAGGAGAAATTAATGGTACACGTAAGTAGAAGATGAGTAATCGTCTAATCACATGCGAAATCTTGACAGTCACACCTTTGCACTCATTGTGATTAGTAACAGTTTGTGTTGCATAATTCGTTTTAAATATTGAAAAAGTAATAATTTGTTACCGTTCAAAGAGATGAGAGTAGATTTATATGTGGAATCGACTCACCATTCGATTACGTTGATTTAGACTTGGAGAACAGACGGCATGAACTGGATAATACTTTGAAGAGTAATAAGTAGATCATCATGGATAATATGTCACTATTTTATTTCTTCTGTAGAAAAGCGAATGCAGAGATTTATTTTCATTTACAGGTCACAGTGTAACTTGATGAGATGTATGATCTTCAAAATAAATCAACAGTGTTTGTCACAAAGCCATTTCTGTACACAACACATTCATCTACACATCCATTCATTGTATTGCCATCGAGAAATATTATCGATTCAAATTAAGGAGTGGTTAACACTCTGTGTCTGAAACTAATAGTTTCTCATCTACTACAAACAAACACTATGGTTAGTGTCAGTTGATCGATTGAAGTGTCCTTAATTTAACGAACCAAATAAATTATTGAGTTCCATTTAAAAGCAACACTTCATACCATAGGTCCTATTTTCTAAGAGTTGACTGTTACGAGAGGCATCAAAGAAAATATTGTTATAATGTGACTACCTCTCCGACTATCAGATCCTATTGCAAAACATTACGATTTATTTTTTCAATAAGAATACAACAGTAATACAGCCTCAGCAACCAGGCGATATACATTAGTTTTCAAGGTCGCATGCTTGTTTCATTCACACGTCACTCACTTCACTGTATTTATTAAAAATTCAACTGAAGGAAGCATTTGAGATAACATGACAAATATCCATTAAGATCTGATCATATTGTGAGCTGTCATATACAGTGTTACATCCAACAATAACTTGATTATTGTTTTTCACTTGAATTCTGATATTGACAGTTTTTCAATTGTAGAGATTGTAGCCAAGATAACCAGTTTGATATATCCGAGTGGGAGAATATCTATCTATTATAACAACGTAAGTTACACAATAGAATCGATATATAGTTTCATGTCAACTACCTAAGATTATCCCAATATTTCATGTCCAGTTAAAATTAACATGACCGAACGAGATCAGCATTCTATAATGTGCAAACAGACAACTTGATATTATTAATAATCCCTTTCATTGACACACTTTATTCAATCAGTTGGTAAAAACAGTGAATATTTAAAAGCGATTTGTTATCAAAATAAACAATGATTCGTTCATGCAAATTCGCAGCAAACAGTAGATTTTTGAGTAATTTACAGTAAAGCACATGTTTAGTCAAGCTTTATTTAATCATCTGTTTCAAACATCCTCTGTTGTATATTTTGATTGTGGAATCCTTGCAATTGTTCACAATCACATTTAATTTTCACAGACATAGATATTCATCTCACAGTGAGTCGTCACGTTCTATGTTATGCAGACAGTCCATCAAACTTCTCCGAATTCGGAATATTCATGCATGTTAAAGAAAAAAGAATTCTGTGGAGAGAATATCAGTATTCTTACTATAAGTGTGATCATTTATCTGTGAATAAGATAATAAGAGTGATTACACATCATTTCAATGATTATTTGGCTTTATTGTAGGTGTTAACAAAATTTCATTATGAATTCCAATACTCCATTTCAGATTTCTATGGAAATTGATGAGATCAAACGACATTCGAAAATCAGCGTCACATTTTTGTGTGGATCAAGTAAGAAACATACTAACAAGTTGTGTTAACATTTTGATACTTTACTTAGAGTTTACATTAATCATGTCACAAAAATGACTTATCTTTTTCAGGTAATTTCGTCATGTTGTTATCTCAGCTTTCTGTGCTAAATTCCATGGATAATGGTTTTCACGATCAACATATTCTGACACTATAGTAACCATACATTTCGGACAACATAGCTAAGGTGTATGAATGACTTTATTGTGAAGGTTTTTCTGGATTTTGAAGACGTCTTACAGTTATGGTTGCCGACAGGGATATGTGAATGACGATATGAAATAGATTATATTTCCATTCATTTTTTCGTAAACTCACTCACATTACAAGGCTAACTTAGTCCACAAGCAATATACGCACAATAGGACATGACTTATAGTCGACTTAATCAAAGTCCGAAATATCAGCTCAAGGACATCATGATAAAAACACAATAATGAATCAAAACTTTACTCGACTGCACAAATTAGTGTTTATCTGGACTGTGTAGCTAAGTGCTTGACGGACTAGCGTTTGTAACAAATGTTCCTGGGTTAAATTACCAGAGTGTACATGCACTGTGAAGTGAAAGTTTATCCAGGTGATTAAATGCGAGTCTACATCTGCACTGTGAGCCACCAATCTTTTCTTGTTTGTAAATTTCTGTGCTGATTATTGAGCATTGGAAAGGTGAAATATTATGTAACGAGTTAAACACATATATCACAGATGTTGCACCAGTTTTCTCGTAAAATTACTCGAAAATTTGCCGATTTCATTTTGCACTTACTTGTTGAATAATAATCATTTTCGAAACTCAGATCGGCGTTAACCATAATATTTAGGGATATCGAACGATCAGCGTTATGTTTGTTAAAAGAATTTTTTGTTTCGACCGCTCCTTTGATGGTGCGAATTTCTTGTCATACTTCTATGTATATTAACCGTTCAATTTATCACACAAGATAATACAGAACATGAAATAGTTGTTCCTGGAAAGTGGATCAAATCTGGCACGTTGGTGGAGTATGAAGTCATTGGGAGTATGTTAAACATTATTTGGCCAGTATAAACTATTTTTACACTTGAATACATCACTTTTGTCTCGTTATAATAGATATTCCATGTGAAAATTTAGTCAGTCAACAAATTATATCCCTGTATTTGGCTCAATTTTCGTCTCATTTACCATCAACTAATACACGTCGATTCACTGTTGAATATTAAAAAATGATGAGACGCTCATTTTGAATTTTTATTGAAGTTCTCACGTTCATAAAGAACTTGAACACAGACAAGAAACGATGGTTGAGATGATATTAGTCTCGATTAAGATTAAGTGTCAGTTAGTTGAGAGGGTACATGAGAAATCGAATTATTTTGAGGCTTGTGAATTGCGATAACACTACATCAAAACGATTGCCAGATTTAGGAAATCTCCGTCTTGTCATACATATCCGATAAATCGCATGTATAGACGATTGACGTCTCCAAATCGCATCATTTCAGAATCTATGACAATTTTCACGGTATAAAAATGCGTTCTTTCACAAGAAAGTGAACAGTGAGTTACTAAAAGAACCAAAGGAATGATTCTATAATCTAATGAAGAGATCGCTTAACTTTTGGTCTAATAAAATGTTTATTTTATCCTCGATGAATTTCCATTGAACCAACCGGCCAGTGGCAGGAAATAGCGGTCCAGAACACGGTCACCTACTTCCATTTCTTCTTACATAGAAGGTCGACTGGAATCTGTTCAGGAAAGATGTCATTCATAATTGGAAAATCAATGTCACTGTTTTTTAGTTCTTCGAATGAGTTAACATAGTTGAAAATTAATTTAAACTCTAATAGCAACTGACTTACATGCACTGATTTCAATCAGGAAACTGATATATTGCATTATGCATCGTGATAACAATTTTCCATGGAATGAATTAGTCGCTGAATTCAGAAATTTTCAAATATCATTGAGTTATTGTTACATTTTTTGTTATTCACTTACCTTTTGTTTGGTAACTTAAATTAAAGTCATCTTATTCTTTTGCTAGAAATTTGTTCAACATACAATTCGCAGAAATTATGCCAAAACCCCAAAACATCGAATGTAGCTTGTATTTGGTGTGAAAGAATCAACGTATGCATTGATAGTAATGATCAAGATACTCATGAATTGAAAATAAATGATTGCCGTGTCGAGGTTAGTGCTTGTTAAATTTCACTTGACGTTTTTATTATCACAAAATTTCACATTCTGAATAAATTGTTTAACTCGATAGAACATATTGTTGCTACTAGTAACATAGAACGTGATTATAATGCTTTCTTTCCGTGGAAACGGTGAATATGGGATCAAAGCGTTGCTTGCTATCAGTCATTGAAATCACAATAATTTTTCAGATCATAGAATATGTGATCATTTAAGAAAGCTAATATCAAAGGTTATATATCTTCGGATTATTACAAAATACCGATGAAACCAGTTTGAGTAAAGGAGTGTAATCTGCTGAAAAATGTGTAACATAGTTTTTCCCCGTTGTTGAAGACCACGACAACAATTTCTGATTCTCTGTCGTGAAATATGTTATCTGAATGGATTACTTCAATAAGGTTGTCAATTAAATGTGTATTGATTCATATTTGAATTGTGATTAGATGTGACATCCAGAACACAGATTACGTCACACAAATGAGTCGCCACATTTTCGTAAATTAGTGCGTACTTATTAAAAGGTTTGTCAGATTAGTAGATGTTTTAAGTGAAAGTACAATTGCATGTTGTGTAACAAGTCTTGTTAATTCTCTTTTATCATTGCTACTAAAAATGTTGTATGTTTAGTAACGGCTTAATTTTATAATATTTGATGTTTTGTAATGTATGCTACAATCTCCTGCATTCGCGAGAGCACTGATATTAGCGATCCGAGTAAGCTAACCTTCATCAATCACATTTAAAAGACAATGAGGATCAAAGAATTTCAGTCTACAGAAAACTTGAAGAAAACTACCATAAAGGTGATCAATACTCGGTAAATATTTGATATTCTGTGATACGTACTAGTGTTTTGTTTTTCTTTAGAATATGACTGCCGAAATTCACGAAGACACTAAACAGAACAAATCATCTCGGTACCTATATGTCATCATACCTCTGGTCATCTGTTTCTTCGTTCTATGTGTCGGTTGTCTTATTGGGATGGGGTTTCGTAGAAGACAAAGACGTTATGAATGATTCTCAGAAACGTCCAATAACTAATTCTCATTATTGTGAACGAGCTGTTTTTCTTATTCGTATTTCACTAGAAAACTTGAAATTTAATTCTTTATTTCAATAAGTTGAAGAATTTCTATACAAAACTGTTTACTTTCTTATGCTTGTTTACGTAATCACTGATGTAATCTCGGTAATAGAGTAACAAATATGGTTTTTAATTTTTTGCGTAATTATGTTCATTAAATATAAACTGCAACATTTTGTGGGAGCTCGACGACATTTTATTTGTGAATTAAGATTTTGTGTATATGTGGTTTTGCGATAACTGTAATCAATCATAATTCCGTTGTGTATGTCTATTCCAGTGAAGTCTCAGTAATGGAAAATGTCATTAATGATCAACCGTGGTCATTATTCTAAAATGAACTGTCGAAAACCTTATCAAAGCATAATCAGTACATTAACGCTTGAATACCAATGAATGCCACAAACAAATGTAAATATAAGAAATAAGCATCAAACAGATAACTAGCAGCAGAAGAGAGGTGATTATGCAAATATTTGTTGAATTGGGAGTGTGAATTGCTTCGATGTGTATTGAGACCTATCATGTTTTGATAAGTTCTATTCCTCACACAAAACGTTTTCAAACCACTTTCAGGAATGAACACTTGAATCTGAATGAGCCGAAAGTACACTGAAAATTATTTGATTTTAAAACCAGTAACGAAATTGTTATTGAATCTTCACTAAACGAATATTGACTCGTTTACATACACACATATAAATACATCTTGCGTCTAACGAGGTGTTATAATTACTTTTGATACCCACAAAAAGTGAATCCAAACTAGCTGCACAAAGAAGTACGAGTTTTAATCACTAAATACTAATGATTTGAAAGTGTAAAATCAATTTTCTCCTTTCGGTCAGTGTGTTAGAGCACCTAAAAATAAACATGTACCACAAATTGTATGTAGTGACTGTAGAACAAGTTCAGTGTGTCTCAGCACTAATCATATGAATGGTTATACAAACCCCATTAGACTCAGTTCCAGATTCATATACATTAGTGGTAACTTGAGAAAATCTATTTCATTCACTTATCTACAAACTAGTAGAAACACGATTTCTTTTGACATCGCTTCAGCGCTTTTTTCATCTGAACGCTTTACGCTATTTAGAAGATTCACTTGTTCTTTGATTCCATTCTATGAAAACAGTCGAATGTTTAACCTAAATCAATAATAAAAGTCTTATTCCAAGTCCAGATATTTTGATATGTCTATTGACACGAAATCTGATGATGAATTTGCAAACAACAAAACGAAATTCCAGACCTGGATGATGTGATTTCGTTTTTTTTTTGTTTTTTTGAAGTTTTTCAGTCTGTCGTCACAAGATGAGCCAAAGAGACTTTTTTGCCGTTTTAGTCGTTCGTGGTTGGACTCGTCTCATCATTTCGGCCTCTCACTTGAAACAAACACTCGCTGCTGAAATCCCATATTCCAAATGCTGTCGCGCGAAGGTTGACTATAATAATCAAAATATTTCTTCATTAAAATATTAAAAGGATAAACAAAATTTAAATATTTCAGAATTATCTCCGATTTATCACGTATGACTGATGTTCGTCGATACTCACAGATCAATGATGAATGAAACTTCCTTTTGGTGAATGATTATCGATTATTTAGGGAGAAAACAGATTGAAAACGGGTAGTTTCTTGGTCATTCAGCTTCAGCTATTAGCAAACACTGTAACCATCCACCGTCTTATTTTATATGGGATTACTGATCGTTATCTTATAGAGTAATCTGGTTTTCACGTACTCGATTTATCAGTCGATGGAACGATTGTTAATAATCACGATGCATTTAGACTCATCTAGTAATTACGTCTTCTGTATGTTTTTATGGGACTGTAATCAATCGTCTCGCCGACATAAACTTTAACACGTATTGCTTGTCGTTTTTTATCAATCACTGTGACCGTTATACCGATTGTTTACCGATATTCCAGACAGATGCATTTGACGGTTGACAAAATGTATGTTTGTGTTGAACATTGACTTTCGATCTCACATTTTGGTGTAACCAGTCAGATTTTACAGTAGATCGAGTATATTCGCAAAATTCAGTTGGCATCGAAATGCGTTTTATTTTTGCAACATCATTAAAATGAATTCGTCTACAAAGAGGCATTTGTAGATGAATATTTAAATAGTCAATCAGCTCTGTCTGTCTCAATAACTTCAAATACTCATGCATATAATTGATGTTATTGAGGAGATATTTTGTTAGTGATAGACAATTTTTGATGTTCGTAGTTGGTCGGCAGTAATCAGTGAAGCTTGGTTTCATGATAGTTAGAACAAGTCAGTGAAGTTTACCTTGACATTTGAAAAAGCCAATAATTATCGTGTGATCTAAACTCATACAATTCATCTTTGCACAATGAGAATGGACATCTAGGTCACTCGAATTACGATTAATCTCCTGTAAGACAAAGCTTTCTATATTTATTGATCAAAGCACATTTCTGGATGTACTGATTGCTTAGTAATTGAGTAACTTCGGAATACAGGCTATCACGAGTTCCATCAAAACTATTTATGAGTAATCGGTGTTGTTTATTTATAATCAAAATGACGTGTCGAGACAGTTTAAGATACATATTTCCATTTGACAATATGCACGTGTTCATACAACTCCTCCGATTTATGAATTGTACTAAAGCAATAACCAATAAACAAACAGAAGAACATGAACTCATTGTACTTCGCGGTTTCTCGTGAGGTACCTACAACTTCTTATTATATCTTCGGGACGGTTGTCAACTGCTTGATTGATTTATTGTAAGATCGGTTTGTTTGTGGCCTGACATTCAGTTTGTATCATTCAATTTCACTCGCAGAAATCTTGGATAATTCGTCAAAGTCACCAATATTAGAACGATATTGAGTGACTACTCGGACATATCAATTATAGTTAACGTGTTAAGTAGTTAGCTTGTAGTGTGATTTAATTTATGACCTGTGTGTCTTTTTGATAGATAACGTAATGATATCGCTAAGTGGAGAACAGTGAATTATAGATCGGACCAGTGACGCATACCACCCTTGTGATCAGTCTAGAGTCCTAATTAGTCACGCTTGCCGCCTAGCCCAGCCAGTTAGGTTCCGAACACTAATCTCAGCTTTTACAATGTGTTTCATTTATTGCAAACATACTAATCAGACAGACCACATCGTACCATAAAACAGGAAATAACATTTGTACAAGATTTTGCCAAAAGTGACTGTGAATGAAGGGGAAGTGATTAATAGACATGGCACAATTACAAGTAATAGTCCTAGTATTGTTGCACAGATTTAAATCATGAGTCAGTTGAAGCTAGACCACCATTGAAAACCTGAAAGCACTGGACGGCCGTTTATTAATCTTGTGGTTAATATTGAGACCACTAACTAAATTGCATTTTCTCAATGCGCATTTCATGCGAATCACTCTTTCAATTACTACAATGATTTTGACTTGACACCTCATTTCAAAAATCGAAAATTGCTTCTGTTATGATCGTCAGGCTTGAATGCTACTACTGATTCGGCATATTCGGAACAAATCAAAGGATCATGGATTCAGAGACTCGATAGTCTATGCTGATCCGTTGTCCCCGACTCAACTTACTCAATCAAAGAGTCTTGATAAGACGTAGTAAGTGTATTCCACATTCAAACCGTAGACACCAAGTCAAGTCAAGCACACAAATCAATTATATTTATACAAGTATTTAAAATCGGTATTGTCATGGAGAATCTTTAACATAATTCAATTAGTTCATCAATTGGCAGCTATTTAAAAATTTAATCGATAAGTTCATCAACTGACTGCCATTCAAATGTTTGAACATTGAATCGATAAGTTAATCGATAAGATGAAATTACAAAACATGAGTTTTGTGGATATATCGTCTTTAATAATGTCTATTACAATAACTC